ACTGGCTAGCCAGGGTCGAGCCGCCTACACAGACACGCAGGTCAGATAGGTGAGGCAAGACCCCGAACTTCTTCAAAGAGGATCTTATATAGGCCTTCACTGGCCGTTACAGCAAAGCCCGTGCATTTCATAGCCAATAGATTTGTAACAACATATATTTTCGTAACCAATCCATTTAAAAGTACATCACTCCTTAGCCTATAGATTCAAACGTCAGCATTTACATACATAGGCATTGTGGCTAGTGGGCATCTGGTAACTCGACCTGGCTCCCTTTGATTCTCAGCTCTGTATTCTGGTGGAGGTGGATAAGGGAAAAGTTCCTAACAGAGGTAACAGATAAGGAAGGCCCAACAAATGGTTTCCGAATTTACATCCCAACAGGGAAGAGTCAACAAAAGGTTTCAGAATTTACATCCCAATAAGGAATGGTTTCACTCTAAAGCTCTGCTAGGGTGGGGGCAGGAAAGGGAGAGTTACTAATTAGTAGAGTTTTAACTCTGGAATCTCCCTCGGGGTTCCAAGGGACCTTACAATTACACCCTCTGATCAGACTTAGGCCAGGCAAGTGTCTGAAGCCTTAGACAAAGCTCAGGGGTCCCGGAGCCTGTTTGTATTGGGCATTACTGCTAACTCATCATTACTTGGCTTCACGCTCAGAAAACACGAGGGGGCCCTTATCAGAAGGCCACAGGGTTTTTCCTATAATCAGCATTTTCTTAGCACAGGGCGGGGAAGTTCATCCCCAGGAAGAGATCTTTTAAAGTTTTCTGGGCTCTGGAGCAATAGTATAGCAGGTAGGGCATTTGCCTTGCATGCAGCCTATCTGGGTTCGATCCCCAGCATCTCATATGGTCCCCTGAGCACAGCAGCGCCAGGAGGAACCCCTGAGCATCGCTGCGTGTGACCCGAAACGCAAAATAAATAAATAAAAAATGTTAAAAAAATTTCATTACATCACCGTAACACTGTGAATCGCCTGGTAGAGAAGGTCACGAGGGAGGCCTGGGTGGAGAAGGTCCTGCTGGCTCCGAGGCTCCGGGAGAGGCCCAGCTCAGCATCCTCTCCTGCGCTGTAATGGCCACATTCTCAGACCATAATAAAGACATGCTCATCCACCCACATTTGTTAAAAAGGCATGAGGGGAGGGGAGGGTCTCAGCTTTTCTTTGGAATTCTGTTTCAGGAGGGCCCTCCCAGGACCTGGGAGCGTCCCTGCTTTATTCCCCTTCCTTTGTCTTTCCTCAAATAAAGTCTTAACTGAATTTAAAGTAAAAAGTATTTGCTCAAATGCTCTCTGGTCCCTTGTTTCAACTTCAACTGCTTGAGCAGAGCTGGGAGTAATTCCTGAACTCCCTGGCACATTCCCTTTCCTGCCCCATAGAAAAGCAGATACTGCATTACCTAATTTGAAACAATAAAGTTACAGGGATAGAAATAACACATGGCACTACACAAGGACAGACGGTGGGGCAAACGGATTAGAACTTTAGAACCGAGCACCCCAATGACAAACCCGCAGACGTACGAACAGCTAATTTTCAGATTATGGAGTTGAGTCCACGAAGTGGAGTAACAGCAAATGTTGGGAAAACTGGATAGTCACATGCACAAAAAAAAAACAAAACAAAGTTGGATCAGTCTGTGTCTCGTACTTTACACAAGTCAAACCAAACTGGATCAAAGGCCTGGGGATTAGACCAGATTTCATAACACACACTAAGGAAAATACAGGCAGGTCATTCCAGGATTTGGACCTCAAAGATTTTTTCAACATGATTCACTGGCAGAAACAAAAAGAAAAATGAACAAATATATATTTTTTAATTTTGCAGGGATTAAAAGGGTGATATGCGTTGGTGCTCAGGGCTTACTCCTGGCTCTGTGCTCAGCTATTACTCCTGGTGGGGCTCAGGGATCACACGGGGGTGCCAGGGATCAAACCTGGCAAGCAAGAGCTGACCTGTCATATTATCTCTCTGGTCCCTCAAAATAATCTTTCTCCCTCAGAGAGGTATATTTTGGGAAGGCACAAAGGGTCCCCTTCAATTAGAAAAGTTGAATAACATACTCAACGTCATACATGTTACTCATGTGATTGAGTAACTTGTCAAAAGAAGCCACTAAAAAAAGATTTAAATGTAGACTAGAACATTTACTTTTACTTAGTGGAGAGCTGACGTCAACAAAACTACAGGTAGGTATTTCAAAATAAAATCATAAAACACACTAAAGAAAATATAGGCAGATCACTCCAGGTTTCGGACCTCAAAGACGTTTTTAAGGGGCTGGAGAGATAGCACAGCGGGTAGGGTGTATGCCTTGCACGTGGCCGACCCGGGTTCGATTCCCAGCATCCCATAGGGTCCCCTGAGCACCGCCAGGAGTAACTCCTGAGTGCAGAGCCAGGAGTAAACCCTGTGCATCGCCGGGTGTGACCCAAAAAGCAAAAATAAATAAATAAATAATTGTTTTCAATAAAAACCACTTAAAGGGGCCAGGGTGATAGTACAGTGGGTAGGGCATTTGCCTTGCATGCGGCCGCCCAGGTTCCATCCCCGGCATCCCATATGGTCCCCCAAGCACTGCCAGGAGTAATTTCTGAGTGCAGAGCCAGGAGGAACCCCTGAGCATTGTTGGGTGTGACCCAAAAAGAAGAAAAGAAAAAAAAACCCACCGCCTTAAACTGGTGGTCTTTAGGCGGTCAGACCAGAAGACAAATTTGCAATTTTGATAAGAGCAAGTCACCTCTCCGCCCCCCCGCCCCCCCCCCTCCGTCCCCGCCCCCCCATTGCCTGCGAGCCAGGGACGTGCCCTACCTGCTGTACTTTTGCTTTGGCCCCACCTACAGTTCCTTCAATGACATCGTCGCGTTCCTGGAAAACACTGCATATACAAGCCCCCACTACCAACCAACAAATGACAAAGGTTCCCAGCTCTCAGCACCGCCAAGGAAAGGAAAGCACAGCTGGCTTCCCTGATGCACCTGGTTTCTCCCGGATGGCCTTCCTCCCAGTCTAGTGAAGGTGTGCTGGGCAGGTAAAACGAAAGAGGCGGTGGCAGGAATTCAAGCCAACCGCAGGATGGGTGGATTTAAAAACCAGAGAAGATACTTTCCATGTAGAACCACTTGTATGTAAATTTCATGACTTCATCTTTTCTAACAGCTGCATAGTATTCCATTGTGTAGATGTACGAAAGTTTCTTTCATCAGTCAGTCATCTGTTCTCAGACACTCGGATTTTTTCCCCAAATTTGGCTATTGTGAACAGTGCAGCAATGTCATTTCGACTGTACTTTTTTGGCCTCTCGGGATACATTCCCAGGCGTGGTATAGCTGGGTCAAATGGGAGCTCAATTTCTAATTTTTTGAGACTCGTCCATACTGTTTTCCAGAAGGGCTGAACCAGTCAACATCCCCACCGGCAGTGAAGGAGTGTCCCTTTCTCGCCACATCCGCGCCAGCACCGGTTGCTTTTGTTCTTGTGGATTAGGGGCCAGTCTCTGTGGTGTGAGATGATATCTCATTGTGGTTTTGATCTGCATCTCCCTGATGATTAGTGATGTTTAAAAATAAATAATAAAAACCAGAGAAGAGGACCAAGAGCTGAGGCGATGCCTTTGGGCTGCATCCTGGCGCTACCAAATGCATCTTCTGCATCTTCCACGGTTGGAGCTGTGTCCTCCCCCTGGAAGGGCTGGGAGGAAGCCTGTCCTGAGGCTATGTGCGACTTTCCAGGGCAGGAGTGCAATGGGAGGGCACTTGCCCGGACAGCAGGCAGGGTCCCCTCCAGGCCCCTCAGGAGTGAGGCCCTGCGGGGCTCCTGGCCATGGTCAGGTTACAGCCAGCGGTGGCAGGTGGCCCCAGACGGTATGCGCAGGTCACTTTTCTGAAGGCAGCTGCCTAATCTGTTTCCTTAGCGTGCACGGCAGAGCAGGGGCGGCCTCAGTGAGCCCGCACAGAAAACACGCTGCAGGTTAGGCCTCGTTGGGGGGTGCTGCTTTTTCTCTTTTTGGGCCACACCTGGGGAGGCTCAGGGTTCCTCCTGGCTCTGCATTCAGGAGTCACCCCTGACGGTGCTGGTGGGGGGGCCCTACGGGGTGCCAGGAACCAAACCCGCAGATGCCCTCCTGCTGTGCCGTTGCTCCCGCCCCAGTGACACGGGTCAGTTCTTGCCCCTGCCCCGAGACCTGCAAGCCAAGGCTCCCCAAGACCGGCAGGGGAGCCCGCCAAGGCCCCCTAAGACCCCCCCAATCCCGGGCGGGTGGGCGGGGTCGGGCGCTGCTCCGCTCGGGGACTCCTGGGCAAGGCCCCGAGGTCCCGGCGAGGCGAGGGTGGCCCCAAGCCAACGCGAGCCCGTGAGGCCCGGCCGGCCACGTGCCACGCCACGAGGCAGCGTTCGAGAATGTTCGAGAATGTTCTGACAGGACGCTCGGGCGTCGGGCGCAACGTGGGGTCGCGGGCAGGGCAGGGGTCTAGGAGGCCTCGCCGGGAAGCTGCGGGGTGCGGAGCCCCGCCTGGCAGTGGGGCCTGCGTCCGAGGGGCCGGGACGCGTGACAAAGGGACAGGCAGGACCGCGCCGCCGTAGGGCGCGCGCCCTCTGCGCATGCTCCGTGCTGCCCGGGTCGCCGCGCCACCGCTCTGCGCATGCTCCGCGCCGCTTCGGTTTCCACCCCTACTCCCGCCCCCGCCCGCCAACCTTCTGCGCATGCTCCACACCGCCTCTGGGAGCGGCGGGTAATCTCTCTGCGCATGCTCCGTGGCGCCCGGGCGCCGCTATTTTACAGCGCGCATACTCTGAGCTGCCGGTTTTCACCCCCCCACCCTCCGCCACCGTTTTGCGCATGCGCTCTGCCGTCCGGATGCCGCGTCTCTACTGTGCGCATGCTCCGCATCTCCTGGGCGGTCCCTGCTAGCTCTCCGCGCATGCGCCACAGCCCCTGGGGCCGCCGCTCTGCCCGGACTCCGGGCCCGGGGCGCGGAGGCGAGTGACCGCCGCTGTAGGCGGCCTGGGCGCGGGCCGCTGCCCCCGCCAGCCGGTACCGTTTGCACCGGGTGGGGTCCCGACCCACGGCCCGTTTGCACCAGGGGGCTCCCGACCCTCGGCCCGTTTGCACCAGGGGGGGACCCGACCCACGGCCCGTTTGCACCGGGGGCTCCCGACCCTCGGCCCGTTTGCACCGGGCCCGCGTGCCGCCCCGTCCCCAGCCCCGCCGGGCGTGGGCAGCGGCCGTCCCGCGTCCCCCGGGCCATGGCCCTGGCCGCTGCCCTCGGGCGGGCGCTGCGCCGCGGGCTGGCCGGCCGGGCGCTGGACGCCCGCGCCAGGGCCTTCCTGGAGGCCAACACCGAGGTGACCAGCCAGGGCAGCCTCACCCCCGAGATCCGCCTGCGCCTGCTCACGCCCCGCTGCAAGTTCTGGTGGGAGAGGGCCGAGCGCTGGCCGCTCGCGGACCCCTACTGGGCCATCTACTGGCCCGGAGGCCAGGCCCTGTCCAGGTACCGCGCCCCCGGACCCGCAGGGGCTGCAGACAAGCCCCGGCTCCGGTTTTGTGTTGGGAACGGTCAAGTTTTAGTAATACACTTAAAAAAAAACTGGCAGTGCCCAAGACTTGCTCCTAGCTTCGTGCTCATCCGGTACCCCCCTTCCCCCGCCTGCGTGGGGCTCAGGTCGGGACCTGGGTGGGCTACGGGCCATGCAAGTGCCCCACCTGTTGCACTATCGCTCTGGCCTAGTCATTTTTTTTTCTTTTTGGGTCACACCTGGCGAGGCACAGGGCTGACTCCTGGCTCTGCACTCAGGATTCACTCCCGGCGGTGCTCGGGGGACCCTATGGGATGCTGGGAATCGAACCCAGGTTGGCTGCATGCAAGGCAAATGCCCTGCTCCCTGTGCTATCGCTCCAGCCCCTGGCCTAGTGATTTTTAAAAAATGACATTTAAGGGGCTGGAGTGATAGCACAGCGGGTAGGGCATTTGCCTGGCACACAGCCAACCCGGGTTCAATTCCCAGCATCCCATGTGGTTCCCCCGAGCACTGCCAGGAGTAATTCCTGAGTGCAGAGCCAGGAGGAACCCCTAAGCATCGCCTGGTGTGACCCAAAAAGAAAAAAAGACATTCAAGAGACATCTAAAATCCAAAATGACTTCCATCCCCGAGATAGCTGTCACTTTCCCCAGCCTTAAGAGACAGCCTGAGGTCAAAGGCGCGGGTACTTAGGTTGACCTTGGATGACCTTCTGGCCACTTCTGGCTCCCAGCCAGGGCCCAGCTAAAATGACACACTTCTCAGTGTGTGCCCTGTGGGCCCCAGAAGTCCCGAGGGGGCCCAGGGGAGGGTGTCCATGAGGAGGGTGCAGAGCAGGACGCGGGGGCTGACCGGTTGGACACGGGCACAGTGCGGGGACGCTCATGTGGCTGCCCGTCACACCACCGACAGGGCAGTGCAGGTGACACCCCCACTGCCAGCTCTGCAGTGACACCGCTTTCGCTCGGTCACTTTCTTCGGCGGGCTCTGTGTGTCTGCGGTGTGACCCCATGCCTGTCCTCCCCTTGCCTGCCACACCTCTCAGGTTTCTCCTGGACAACCCTGAGGTGGTCAGGGGCAAGTCCGTGCTGGACCTGGGCAGTGGGTGTGGAGCCACGGCCATTGCTGCCCAGATGAGCGGGGCGTCGCGGGTCCTGGCCAACGACATCGACCCTGGTACGCCTCACAGAGGGACACTGTGCCCCCCGCGGGTGCCCCTCGGGCTGGTCCTGGTGACGGGGCGGGTGCCGGGGAGGCTGGTTTGTCTCTGCGCCAGGGCTGTGCTGTGCGCAGATCGTTCGAGTTCCCACTCCGGGGTGGCCTGTGTTTAGGGAGAGCTGACTCTTGTCTGCCCTTTAAAAAATGCTTTTTCTTGTTCTATTTTTTTTGCCGCACCCACCCAGCCATACCCAGGGGTCACTCAGGAATTACTCCCAAGGTGCGGGGGGAGGGGGGACTCCTGTGGGATGTCAGGGATGGCGGTGTCCTGGCCAGCGCCCTCCTCCCCTCCCTCTCCAGCCTTTGGCCAGGCGCGGCCTGGAGGCATCGCTTATACTGGGCAGACTCCCTGCCTGAGCATCTTCCTCCAGCCTTGCCTCAAGGTCAGTGAGTTTCTGCCGAGCTCGGCATTACCAGAGCCATATATTTAATTAACATGGTGATAAATTGGAGTGGCATAAACTCCAGACTTTACCTATTATAAAATAAAACAACTTTTTTTTTTTTGGTTTTTGGGGCACACCCGGCTATGCACAGGGATTACTCCTGGCTCATGCACTCAGGAATCGCTCCTGGCGGTGCTCGGGGGACCATATGGGATGCTGGGAATCGAACCCGGGTTGGCTGCCTGCAAGGCAAACGCCCTACCCGCTGTGCTATCGCTCCAGCCCCAAAATAAAACAACTTTTAACATAAAGGGGGAGTTCGTAGCACTCGATTTGCTTGGGGGGGGCGATTAGGCCACACCCAGCAATATTTAGGGGTTACTCCTGCCTCTGCACTCAGGAATCCCGGCGGTGCTTGGAGGACAGTATGGGGTGCCAGGGATTGAACCCAGGTCGGCGTGTGCCGGGCAAGCCCTCCCTGCTGTGCTGTCTCGGCCCTGTGCTGGGTTTCTGAGTCCGTGGTGGGCCCCCGACTCATGGTGGTGTCTCCAGTTGCAGGAATGGCCATCGCACTGAACTGTGAGTTGAACGGACTCAACCCTGTGCCCATTTTAACCCAGAACGTTCTGGATCTGAAACAAGAGCCCTGGGACGTGGTGGTGCTCGGAGACATGTTTTATGACGACGCTCTGGCGGACGGGCTGGCGCGGTGGCTGGAGCGCTGCTTCCGTGCCCACGGCACTCGCGTTCTCATCGGCGACCCCGGGCGCGCCCAGTTCCGTGGACACAGCGTGCGGCGGCAGGCACACTGCGTGGCCGAGTACGAACTGCCCGAGCCCACGCGGCGGGACAACAACGGGCTGACCTCGAGCGCCGTGTGGGACTTCCGGCCTGGGCCCTGAGCCCCGGGCAGGTGGTCCTCGGTGAGCTGGCAGCCTGAGGGGGTATCACCGGGCACGACGAAGTCAGGGAGGGCCCGTCCTGGGGGACACTGTTCTGTGCCTTCAGGTGAATCAAAATAAAGACGATCAGAGGAGTGTCGTGGGCCCCTGAACGTGTGGCAAGTGGCGCCGAGTCCTGGCCCCCAGGTGTCCAGGGCCCCGGGAATCGCCCTATGTGGGTGGGGTGACAGGTCTCATCTAGGCTTGTCCTGAGGCCCCTCGGCGGCCCAGCCACACAGCCCTGGCGTCTCCATCGGGGCCACTTAGGCCTTTTTCCTTGTCATCTGACGTGCCTTTGCTTGCTCTACGCCTGAGGAGAACCCAGAAGAGGGGAGAGGTGTCCCCACACCCCGGCCCCACTCTCTGTCCCGGATCCTGAGCCTGAATGCCAGGCGAGGGCTGTCCCTGGGCATGGGGTGTGACACGGCGGGTAGTGCCCTCCCCCCGTGCTGTCTCTGAGGCCACTGCTGATGACATTTTTCTTTCCACCCCCGGGTCTGCGGGTGCTCTGCCGTGGGTACCAGGTGGAGGCAGGGAGAAGGCTGACGTGGGGCGCTGAGTACAGGGAAGCAGCGGAGTCCGCGAGGAGCAGGGGTGTGGCGGGGGGAGCGCAGGGGGACGGTGAGTCACGCCGAGAGCAGCTGTGCGGTAATTAGACCTTTGCGCGCCACCTAGTTTTCTCTGACAAAGGATGTTTTGGTAGAAGCCCTGAATTTGGATAATCGCCCAGTGTTCATCCTCGGAGGCGGGCACAGGCTGGTAAACGTTTCTCGTGAGGGTGCCTCGACCTCAGCTGGGCGTGACCCAGGTGCCCGAGTGAGAGGCCGATGGGGCGTCTCGGGCTGACGGAGGCCAGGTGGTGGCCCGTGGCCAGCGTCGGGCAGCGGGAGGCGTCCGCTCACGGCCACACAGGCTGCAGGGCACGGGGCAGGTCACCATCTCGGCCTGCTGAGGCCTGTGATGATCTGATTCTACGCCCTGTGGGTTTTTCTCTGCGCCAGTCGCCACCACATCTGCTGCCTTTCTCACGGACTCTCAGATGCTGCTCCGATGTCTGACGCGACTGCTCTGCACCCGCCAGCGCCACGGTTGGTGCCAGGATGGTGGCCGGGGACGAGGGGCGTCCTGGTATGGATGCTGTGAGCTGGGCCGCAGGGGCCCGGAACTTCCTTCCTCGGGATTCCTGAGCTCTGAAGTCAGTTTATAAGGATTCAGTGAACCAGCTTCGAGGATGAGGGAGACGGCGCAGAGGCCGCGAGCAGACACGGGGCAGTGGCGCTTCCCGAGCACTGCAGGAGAGAGCCCTGGCGGACCCCCACTGATGGCAGCCCTCCTAACAAAAATAACCAAGGAGCCAAGCTTGCGCTCCCTCGCCTCCGCTCCCTTCATTGGGCTTTTGGGCCACACCCTGTGGTGCTTCGGGGCTCGGGGGGACAATACGTGTATGTGATGAACCCGGCGGACTGTGCAGGGCAAGCGCCCTTCCCCCAAGGAATCAGTGTTGTTGCATCCAGTTCCTGCTGGCCTGCTGGGGCCCAAGGAAGTTGGATATTTGGTTGCTCTCGTCTTTGTTTTGGGGTCACACCCAGTGGTGCTCAGGGCTCACTCCTGGCGGGGCTTGGGGACCACACGGGACGCTGAGGGTGAAGGGCAGGTGTCCCCCCCTGCCATACCGTCTCCCTGGCCCGGAAGTGCCCTTGGCTTACAGGCACCCTTCACCATGGCCTGCCCCCAGGAGGGAACTTTTTCTGTTCAGTCATCCTGCACAGTGGCTCACAGTACTGTTGCCGACAGGGTTTCGCAGGTAACTACCACGTCAGCGCCACCGCCCGCGTCCCTCCACCATGGCACTGCCCCGCAGCCCCGCTCTCTCCCCAGCCCTGTGGCAGCCCGGGTCCTAGAATCTGCCTTTGTTGAACAGCGAGATTACAGGCCATACCAGGGGAGAGGGAGTGGCCAGGGCCCTGTGCCCACCATGACAAGCACGGGAAGAGGAGCGGGCCCCCGCTGCCCACCCGTGTTGCGTGTGGCCGCGCAGCTGCTCGCCAGGCTCAGTGGGACAGCTCCCGGCCCCGTCTGCAGAGGGCACGACACCGCGGGCAGCCCCGCAGCTGCTAGGAGACAGGTGCCACGTGAGGGGCTGAGTGAGGGTGCGGACCGGCAGAGTGACCCACGTGTCCCCTGGTGGCTCCTCGGAGGGCAGCGCCTCCCATACCTATGTTTGGATAAGAGGAAGGTCTTCAGTTACTTCAGAGTTTGGGGGCCGCCCTGGGGAGGAAGCCAGGAGTGTACTTTGCAACTTCTTCCTTTGAAACACAGATTTTAGGAGTTGGAGCGATAGCACAGCGGGCAGTGGGTGCGGAATTTGCCCTGCACGCGGCTTACCCGGGTTCGATCCTCGGCATCCCATAGGGTCCCCCAAGCTCTGCCAGGAGTCATTCCTGAGTGCAGAGCCAGGAGGAACCCCTGAGCATCTCCGGGTGTGACCCAAACAGCAAATAAATAAATAAAAACACACAGAATTTACACTTAAAAATTTTTAGCAAGGAAGATACCTTCACTAGAGGCGGAATCCATATTCTGCGAAGCCAGGGAAGAGGCGTCTTTATCTCCTGGGATGCCAGCGCTCTGCACTGCGGGAAGCAGGGGTCGGGGCGGGAGGAAGAGACAGAGCCCAGCACATGCTCCCCAGGCTCGACCCCACACATTACGGTCCCCCGAGCCCTGCCAGGAGTGAGCCCTGAGCACTGGTGAGTGCGCACCCCCCACCCTGCAAAAAAAAAAATTAATAGAGCTGAGAGGGGCTGGGAGAGGACAGCGGGGAGGGCATCTGCGTCGCATGCAGCCGGCCCAGGCTCGGTCCAGCATCCCAAATGGCGCCCTGAGCACTGCCAGGAGCAATTCCTGAGCGTAGAGCCAGGAGAAAGCCTTGAGCATCTCTGGGTGTGAGTCATAAACGAAAAGGTCATTAAAAAGAAAACAGAAGCCTCAGCTTCCAGGGATCACTTCCCTAGCTCGGTCCCAGGAGCTCCTCTGGCCTGAGCGGGAAGCAGCTGCCTTTGACGCTCACTAGAGAAGAGCCCAACAACAAAGGAGAGGCAGCCTGGGCACTGTGGGGGGCCCGCCCGGAGGGTAGCAGTGGGGATGGAGCAGTGCCCAGGCCCGGGGACCCCTCTCCTCCCCCAGGTCGGGGGTGGGGGGGAGCCGGGGTGAGTGCCCGGTGGTGCTGCAGCCCGCTGGCCGGCCCATTCCACATCAGTGTGCCCGCGGCCCGTGAGCAGGTCAGGCAGGAGTCAGACCAGGACCAGGGAGCAAGGACGCTTTCCGGAACCGCTTTATTCGGAATTCTAACATCCACATCGCTACGCTTCTCTGGGAAGAGCTCCATGTTCGGTAGTAGGGCAAACCGTCGGGGAAGGCGAGTCACTGGAAAGGGTTTAATAAAGAGTCACGGCCCGCCGGCGGGCCGACGCGGGAGCAGCTCTCAGGGCGGGCGGAGTCCACCTGGACACGAGACACGGGGAGACACTCCAGACTGGGGGTCCCGGGGGCGGCGCGGGCCTCAGTAAACAGTCCACATCACCTGCTTCAGTTTGTTCGGGCCGAGCGACTGCTCCAGGATTTCCCGTGAGCGATCTAGAGTGAAGAGAGGGCAGGTCAGACCTCAGGGGCCAGAAAGCGACGGGCAGCTGCCAGGGTTTGTGGGGCTGGGAGGGACGGGCAGGGCAGCCCTCATACCTCAGGGGCTGGGAGGGGCCAGGCAGGGCTGAGAGGGGACGGGCAGTCATGGCTCAGGGGGCTGCAAGGTTAACAGACGACACATAAGAACCTGTGACAGCTACAGCAGCCTCATGTCATTAGCCGTGGTGGACGTACACAGTAATATTTTAAAAAACGAACATTTATGGGGCTGGAGCGATAGCACGGCGGGGAGGGCATTTGCCTTGCACACGGCAGACCCGGCTCGATTCCCAGCACCCCATAGGGTCCCCCTGAGCACTGCCAGGGGCAATTCCTGAGCGCAGAGCCAGGTATAACCCCTGAGCATTGCTGGGTGTGACCCAAAAAAGCCAAAAAAAAGAACATTTATAATTTTCTCTGAAATTTCTTAATTTTGCCAGCTAAAGTGGTGACATGACTTCCTGGTGAAGCAGTGGACACAGGACAAGCCAGGCCCTGGCAAGGGACGCCTAGCAGCCCCATGTGCTCAGTGCTCTCGCCGACTCCGCAGCGTGGGGACGAGCCAGGGCCTCGTCCTCGCTCCCGCAAGCTCCGGCATCCAGCCCAAGTGACACACAGAGGCCAGCCTGGAGGAAGCGCCAGCAGCACCTCAGTGCAGGCCACCCCTGATGGGGCGGCTCCCCACACTGGGATGGCCTCCAGACATTGCTTCCTACTGGGCAGACCTCCACGGGCCACGCGTCTGGCCCCTCTGCATGTCCCCGCCACCTCCCGTGAGGCCCTCCTCCCCCCGCGCCCCAGCCCTGCAGGAGAGCAACCTCGGTCTCCCCGTCGGCCCCATTCACGGTGATGCAAATTCTCCAGGTGTGACTGTTGGCAGTTTCCTTCTCTCCTGAGTCCTGCCTGAGTTGGCCACCAGGGAAGGCCCAGAGGAGTGGGGTATCCCCGGCCCCTGGACCCGGACGCCCACCAAGGGCTGGAGCAGGCCCGCGCTGCCTCTGAGCTCCCCTCGCTCTCCCGGCCCGAGACACTGCTCCAGCCCGATATGCCCTGTCCTGCCATGTCGTCAGGGAGGAGACACCACAGGGAAGACGCTCCCAAACTGGCAGGGAAGAGGAAGCCTCGTGTGCCAGGCCCATAGACGTGCCCTCGCTCCACCAGGAGACGAAGCAGCTAGTGCAGACGCAGGGGTGGCGTGCTCCTCCCTGTGATGGGCACGGCAGGGGGAGTGCCAGGCCTCCTGCTCTGATGGCTGAGAATCATGCATGCGGGGACACTCCACGCAGTGTGCTGTCACGGTAACACGCTCCACGGCACGCGCGGAGACAGCAGAGACTCGGCGTCATCCCCCGGCCCCTTCCGAGCTCAGCTCTGGTCTGGGTACAATTAGGAGACCCCCAGGGAGAAAAGAACACTTTTCACAGGATCTCACGTGTTTCTCCCCGTGACCCCGGGATCAGGCACACAAGCGTTTGAGGCTAAAAACATCTGGGCCAATGCTTGGATCAAGGAAGCTCGCTGCTGACCAGCCGGCAGATGGCAATAGGGCAGTGGGGGGTCACCTTCCCCACTGGCCTGACCGACTTCCATTCCTCCGAAGGCCAAGCAGAGCACTGGCAAACCACCAGGTGGCAGCAGGAGCCAGTCGCTCGGCTGCAGAGGGCACTGCACCAGGAGGTGAGCTCCGCAGCCTGCAGGGGCAGACATCTGGTGGGTGCTGGGTGTCCCGGGGGAAGAGAAATGCTCTGCACGGCAAGCCTGGGTGTGGACCGGGAGAGAAAGTCTCAAACCCACACTGGCCACAGGCGCCAGGCCTTTGAAAGACGGGGTCACTCGGGGACCCAGAAAGCTGTTGTGAAGCAGATTTCTGTGCCCACAGCAGGGCTGGGTCCTTGCGGGGGGGGGGGGGGGGGGGAGTGTAGGCCAGGTCTGCAGGGGAGGCTACTGCGAGAGAACTCAAATAGATGCGAGTTTCCCGGGGAAAGCCGGAGGGACTCCTGCTTGTATCAAGAACGCCGATGAAGGCGATTTGGAAAAAGAGACATCTCTAAGCCAGAGGGATGGAGTGTCCATTCTCTAGTGTGTCACTCTCCTCCCTGACCGTCCACTCTCCAACCAGAGATGGGCAGCATCTCACCCTGAGGGCGTACTCTCTCTCAGTTGTTTTCCTCTGGAACAGCCCACGCTTTCTCTTGCATCTCTCTCTCTCTCTCTCTCGCCCTTGTTTTTTGAAAATAAAATGACTCCGCTACTTTCCTTCTCTTGCGAAGAACAATCCCTCTCTCAGCCTGAGTCCATGACCGCCCTGACCTTGGGTGGTGGCCAGTCCCCCCCGCCATGCAGAGTCAGTGGGATCCAGTTTAGCTGGGCCGTTGCTCCTGGTGCTGTGCGCGGGGCAGGAGTGGGTCCGTCTGCCTCGGTGCTCGGAGTCACCGTCCCAGTCCTGCCCCCACCAGGCACTTCCTGGTGGCCGAGGGGAAACACCCACCTGCCAAGGCTGCTCTCTTGCCCAGTGCCCAGCGCCCCTCGACAGGCCACAGGTGAAACCAAAGGGACGTGTAGAGCTGACGACCGCCAGGGTCCTCGGGCTGAGTGTCCGGCTCCTTCTCTGGCTGGCACTGAGCCGCGGGCGTGATCTGCCACGCTGGCTCCGAGCACTCCCCTTCAGCATCCTGCCCCTCCCAGGCACGGCCGGAGGACAACTGCTGGCCAGTGACCCTCAGTGTTTCAGGCCCCATCAGTGAACTGCCCCTTTCCTTCCCGAGAAACTTACCATGCTCTTCTAGCATCCCTGATTTAGTCAAAGTTTACCTTCACCTTTTTTTTTTTTTGTGCTTCACCTCTCACCGTCACGGGTCCCCAAGTCAGTCTTGGTCACGCATGAGCCAAAACTTTCTCGTAATTCTGGATTCTGTATTTGTAGTGAATTACTTGCTTTAATTACTTGCTTTTCTATTCCCCCACAGCCTTTTCATATTTCACTATAGAGCAATGTTCTTTGGTTGAACACAGAAAGACCATTTATGCTGTGCTCCTAAAATCTGGGAGTCGACGCTGAAGTATATCTAACCTGAGCATTGGTCATGATTACTCGACTCAGGCTTCAGCTGCTGCAGTTCCTAACAGCCCAAAAGGGAGCTCCCGCCGCGGGACTGGGATGGACCCGGGCGAGTGGCAAAGCTCCCCCCGCATCAAAATGGGACAGTCTAGAAAGCATAAATGCAGGGTCTCGATGCCAGCTGTTATGACTTAAGAGACAAACTCCCGTGGGGAAGGACAAGCTGAACTGGCCTGAGAAGTTAGTCTGGGGTTTACGGTAAAAGCCTGGCTTGCTCTCAGAGCCCAGAGGACTAAGTGTTGGGATCTTTGTCTCTTCCTGTTTTATCCAAACAACTGCAAATATTTGATAAGAAGTAAACTTAATTGCTTAACATACACAACTGGAGGGAAAGACATAAGCAATGTCGATGTCCCTGGGAGACAGAGTGTCTCCTTGAGTGAATCTCCCCAAGAGAACGGCCTCTGCCAAATATTTCTCTATGCAAATGATCAGTCACACCTATGTCTGTACCTCGGCCCCCTCAGATGTGCTGGAAGTTTTCTGGCAGCTCTGGGTGAAACGGGCCATTTCACCATCTGTCTGTGGTCCCCATCTGTCTGTCTCTCTGCTGGGGAGGCCTGGGGTGGACAGGAGTGTGTCCCGGCACCTACACGCTTTGTGAACTCACAGACAACGCCCAACGGAGCCGATTCTGACCCGACTAAGTTGTTGGGAAAAAAAAAATGTAATGCCAAAGAAAACAAAGACGAATGTGCTGTCGGTGGCAACTCCAACTGCTGGGCAGCTGTGACTTAAATCAATTTTCCAGTTTCGAGTGCCGGTCCTGCTCATGGGTGCCCACATGTTATAGCGGGCCCTGGGGCGCTCTAAGGGCCCAGCACCGGCGGCACACGCGGGGCCCTGGCCTCAGTCAGGACCGGGACGCTCCTCGAGCACCGCGGGAAAATCCCTGCTGAGCAGGAACGGCCAAAGCCCAAGCAGTGTGTTCTAATGGGACGGGATGAAAAGCGAAAAAGGAAGGGAGGAATTTCTTAAAATAGAGGGCCGGGATTTGGGGCCAGAGCGACGTACAGTGGGAGGGCGTTTGCCCTGCAGCAGACAGAATAGATCCCGGCACCCCACAGGGTCCCTCAAGCACAGCCAGGAGTCATTCCTGCGTGCAAAGTACCCCTGAGCATCACTGGTGTGGCCCTCAAACCAAAGCAAACAAAGAAGCTGGGGTTTGAATTCTAGAGGGGTGGCTGGAGCGTCTCCTTCCACTCTGCACCTGCTGGTGGGCTTGCAGGACATGGCCTGAGACTTGGCCTGCGGGCCGTGGCCTGAGCCCACACGGCATGTCCACTCAGCCCAGGCTGCCGGGTGGGCGGAGACGCCAGGCGCTGCAGAGGGGGCCGGGCGGGAAACGGCAACGACCCTCTCTGCCAGAGAGCGGCTCCCCAGAACTGCTGGGGTGTGACTCCCTGGGGGGCCGTGGCCTGACGTGTCTCCCGGGGCCTGACACGGCTCCCGTGCAGCTGCTCCCTAAGCCGCGGGGCCGCAGAGATGGGGAGATGGTGCCCGAAGAGTGGGCGGCCGGGGCGTGGAGACCCAGGCTGGTGGGACTGCGGCCCAGCGGGCAGGGGAAGACAGCCGTGACTCCCGGGACACCTGGTCACGGCACTGATCCCCAAGGGTTGTGGCGGCTGCCTTCTCCCCAGCAACAGGCCTTCAAGGGCCACAGCCTGAAGCGATCCCAGCTCGTCAGCACGTGGGGAAGGCGCATTAGAGAAGCGAATCTGTCTGCAGGGACAGCGCGTTCAGTGTCCTCAGTGCAGTTCGCTGCCGTGACCCTCATGCCACATACAGACCCACCGAGCACCGTCAGGGGCCAGGAGTAGTCCCTGAGTCCCGCTGGGTGCGGACCGACCTTCCTCCCACACTCAGAGTGCTCCCCGTCTCCCCGTGCCCCCCCTCGGCGACAGGCCCCGTGCACACGCGTAGAAAGGGACCCCAGGGCCCGCCTGCACTGCAGCACTCACCGGTCATCAGGGGGCACTCGAGGAACAGGAATATCTGCATCTGCGGGCAGCGCGTCAGGACAGCCTCCACGGCCTCGTCAGTGAGATTCACACAGTAGCCCATGTTGATCTCCTGTTGGAAACCCAGATCGTAGCGGACACATGTCATGCCGGGAACGGGGGGTCCGTATCTCTGGTTGAGTGGATGGATTGATGAGACATACTTGACAGAGATGGTCTTTGCTTGCGGGAGGAGAATCGGAAAGGTGCCCACCCTGTCCACATTCTGGGTGACTGGCCCTGCTCCCAGCTAAGAAAATGCTGCTGAGAAAGTCCCTGGGCCGTGCCAGAAGGGGCTGTAACATGCCCGCCCCACTGCTCGGGCACGGTGCAAGGTATTGACAAGTTGGCAGGAATGTCGGCTGCAGGGGTGGCTGTTCTGACTCCCCTGCCATCTGGACTCAGCCCTCAGCAAGTGAAAGCCCCGTGCTCCCCCCACTGGCGTCTCAGTGGGCCAATCAACACCCATTCCAACAACCACCACTGAGGAAGCGTGGGATAGAGCCAGGGACATTGATGGGGAGAGAACCACGGAAGCAGGAGAGCATGTGTGCGGCCTCAGGGAGGACACGAAGGGGGCAGGGGAGGCATTTTCCTGCAAGATAAGCGCTGTGGGAAGAGCCCAGTGTCAGTCCCGGCAAACGGGAACAAGGGGAGCTTTGAAAGTTGATGCCCACCCACTCATGCTGCAAAGCAACTGGCAACTAACGAAAGCCCAGAGCGAGCCGTGCCAACTGCAGATGTTCACCGAAGATGTTCACCACAGATGCAGACCGAGGAACGCCACCTGCAGACGTTCCGCACAGACGCTCGGACGGAGTGAGCCACCTGCGGACCTCACCGCAGAGACGCGTGTCCCTGGGCAGAGGCGGCAGTGGGCAGAGATGCCCCCGACCCTATTCTAACAGTGAAGAACCTGCAGAGGCGCCAAGGGTGGGAGCACTTGCTCGGCACCCCGGAAGCCCAGGCTTGACCCTGGGCAAGTACCACGTGGCCCTGTCTAGGGGGGCGCCTTGGGGGTCTTCCTTCTGGCCTGGTAAGGCTGGCTTCCTCAGGGACATTCAGCCTGAGAAATGGGCTGAGGGCTTCAGGCAAAGCCTCCTGCTGTCATGTTGACTCTTCAGCATCTACGGGTCTAAGTGACTGGGATGTCACATGCCCACTCTGAGGCCCTTAAAGGATGGCAGAACACAGTGACAGCAGAGCTGAGTGGGGCAGGGACGCTGACGGCATCCAGAGCAAGACCATCCTTTGAGTACTTTAATTTGGGGACCACACCCATTGGTGCTCGGGGTTTACTCCTGGCTCTGTGCTCAGGGATGACTCCTGGTGGGCTCGGGGGACCAGATGGGGGGTGCTGAGGACCAAACCCAGCTTGTCCATGTATAAGGCAAATGAAGGGACCCATGCACTACTGCTCCGGCCTTGGGCACTCATCTTGCACTGAACTTTATCTCCTAGCTGCATAGGCCTCTCTGTAACAGAGCTGAAGATGCACGTGCGCGCGTGTGTACACACACACGTACACACACCCCAAACAAAACCCTCAACTGATAGGAAGTTTCATGTGAAGATGCAGGACAGTACGACGTGGGGATGTGTCTGGTTAAACTTCTGAGGAGGGCTGGGGACGCCCAAAGGGCAGGGCACAGGCTCAGCACAAAGAAACCCCCGTTGCGCTCCTGAGCACTGCAGGGAGCAGCTCCTGAGCACGGAGCCAGACGCTGCCGCTGAGCACCACTGGGTGAGGCCCCACACCAAGCCACGCCGCAGCTTCCTGAGAATAAGGCCGCGGACAGGACACGCACCTCGAGCTTCTGGGCACAGGGCCCACTCACGAGTGCCACCACGCCGTCGTCGGACACCTGCGGGGAAAGGCCACGGGCAGTGAGGGCGACACGGGGAGACAGGCCGGGACCGCCTCTCGCTCAGGAGCGCCCGCGGCTGGGCCCCACCTGCGTGAAGGAGAAGTCCACGCACTGCAGCGCGGGGCAGTGCTCGCCCAGGGCCCGCAGCGCCGCGTCCGTGAGGCTCGAGCAGCCGTTCAGCTTGATGATGCGGAGCAGCCGGCAGTGGCGCGCGAAGGCCAGGACGCCGTCGTCGGTGAGGCTGCGGCACCACTTCAGGGACACCTCCTGCAGGCACGCGCACGACGCGGCCACGGCCTTGAGTCCTGGGCGCAACGAGACCGTCCTGCGCTCAGGGAGCCGGACGCTGGCAGGGATGCGCCAAGGCTGGACGTACGGGCCCGGGCTCGCTCCCTGGACCCTGGGACCTTGACCCGTGACCCTGGTGGCCCCCAGCACCCCTGCAGAGCCCCCCAGAGGCCCCAAACCCAATACAGCTTTTCCGGAGGTTCCCAGACCCCACAGGATAGTCATGACGAGCTTGTTCACGGCAGCAAACGTACCTTCAGAAGTGATGGCGTTTCTTTTTTTCTCGAAGGAACTTAAGTTCAGCGTCCTCAGCTTCCGGCAGGCGCACACGTGCCGCAGGGCGCTGTCTGAGATGTCACAGCCCTCGATGTTCAGGGTCTGAGCGTCCGGGTGCAGGATCTGTAGGGAACCGTGGGGAGGTCAGTTTTGCCACGGTGAGAGGCCCAACTCCGCATTCGGCGTCTGGCCGCCGCAGACAGGCGGCAGCTGGGAAGGAGCAGAGGACTCGGGCGTCTGCGTGGGGCGTCGCGGAGCCCAGTCCCGGGACCCACTGCACCGCCGAGCACAGAAGCAAGGGTGGCGCAGGGCGGCTTCCGTTAGAGTCTGGCAGGGGACCGGCAGGCACCGCCTCTGCCCCTCAGGAGTGACGGCTGAGGCCGGCTGAGTCAGTGTCAGTGTCCACTTCCCTGGGAGTCCCCCCAAGAATGGCTTTACTTTCCTCGACATAAAAGCAGTGAATTACTTTGATGCCCCCAATCCCTGAAACTTGTTTCCGTTTCGTAAGCGAGGGGGTGGCGATGCCAGTGACGTGAGCAGTGACAGAAACCGCAGAGCCAGAGCAGCAGCAGAGGGGAAAGGGCTGGGCCCAGGCCACTCCAGTTCCACGAATCTTGGGCTTCTGGGCTCTGTTTCATTTGGTTTGGGGGTCACACCCAGCAGTGCTAAAAAGCTGCTCCTGGCTCAGTGCTCGGAATCACTGCCAGTGATGCTGGGAGAAGCACGTGGTTCTGGAGCGTGGGCTAAGAAGCTGCTCCTGGGGCTAGAGCCATCGCACAGCAGGGAGGGCGTTTGCCTTGCACGCAGCCGACCTGGGTTCGATTCCCAGCATCCCATAGGGTCCCCTGAGCACCGCCAGGAGTGATTCCTGAGTGCAAAGCCAGGAGTAACCCCTGAGCATCGTTGGTGTGACCCCCCCCCCAAAAAAGGGAGCTGCTTCTGGCTCAGCGCCTGGATTGCTCCCAGTGATGCCGGAGCACCTGGTTCCGGAGGTCAGTCAGGCTTCCCACCTGCTGGGCCCCTCCCCAACCAGCTTTCGACTGCAGGGCTGAACCATCTCCACTCGTGGGTCTGGACACCGCGCTGCTGTGTCGTCTGGCAGGGCAGTGCAGGGGCTCGAACATAAGCGTTGGTCATGAGCTCGAATCCCAGGGGTCCCACAAGCTGGCAACTCTCACCTGGGCCCCCTGGCTGAGCTGCACCTTAAGGCACTACGGGCGGAAGGCAGCACTGTGGGGGGTGGCCCCATGAGCACCCCCACCAGAACTGACCCTCTGGTGGCCACGGTGCACTGTCACCAAGGGCACAGAGCTGGGGGCCTGCCTGCAGGTATGCCAAAGACGGCAGTGAGGTGGGACGTCGGGAAGGAAGAGGCCTGCCTCTCTGTACGGGAGGGGCACCTGGTCTCCCCAAGGCCTGACTCAGGGCCTCCTGCCACCAGGCAATGCCCAGGCCTCAGACGAGTGCTCAGGAAGCCCGAGGGAAGCCCGGGGCTGCGTCTGCCAGTGCATGTCAGGCAGACTGAGGAGCTCATGGGAAGTGACGGCCCTCGGGAGGGAGGTGCTACCGGGACTGGCCAGGTTTCGTGTCCTTGGCCCTTAGTGGGTCTCCGGGCTTGCGCCTGACTCTTCACACCTGCACGGGGCCTGTGTGGTACCGGGGATGCGCCTGGGGCCGCTGTGTGGAGGGCAGCGCCCTGCCCGTCCCGTCTCTGACCCTGCTTCTAGCCCACGGTCCGCATCCTCGAGTTCCTCAGGTGCTGATCCTGTTACGATGCCAACAGGGACAGCTTGAGGGGAGAGCGTCAGCCCACTCCTGGGCGGCCAGCAGCGCTTCCCTCCGGCTCGGCCCCGCTCCCCGGAGTGGCCTTTCAACAGCTCAGCCGAGGACGAGCACATTTTTGTTTTCTTTTGGGCCACACCCAGCAGTCCTCAGGACAGCAGGGCACACGAGGGCTGGGCTGGCCTGTGCCAGCGGGACTTTCGCTCCAGCCCCAAGCATGAGCACACTAGAACAGCACTTGACAGTTAGCGTCACACATTTGGCTTTTCACAACCAGCCCGTCCTCCCACTGGCAGGGAGAGTCTCGGCTCCCCGCGTGGCCCGACTCCCGGCTTTGTCACTGTCTGAGTCTCTGTGCTTCTGTAAGACAAACCCTGGCTCGGGTTCTGTCGAGGCCCAAAGTGCCCACAAGGGGGCTAATGGCGGTTTTTAAATTTCCCTTCAAGTGTTTCCCATATTCTTCTACTTCATTGATTTTTCTTACGGGATTATACAGATTATATTGTGAAAATGAAAAAAACTATAGAAATTCAAAACTGTTGCAACATTTTTTCTGACTGTAACTTGACTTTTTCCCCCTTTCCACAATAAAAAAACTTCTATTTTTATGGGACCTAGGCCACTCATCTTCCCTCGTCCTTCTCCATCCGGAGACTGCGGGGATGTGGCGGGTCAGCTGGTCTCCGAGGTGTGAGCGTCGCCTGGAGGCTCAGGAGGGCTGGTCCCGGCCACAGGACTCTGCGGAAGGCGGGAATCAGGTGCCTCAGAGAAACGGTGCCGAGTTCTTTCCCCTCTTGACCCCTTTGCCCTTTTTATTCAGGTTCCAAAGAATCAAGGACGGCTAAGGATTTCTAAGGCACGCAGGGAGCAAAGCGCCTGGCCTCTGAGCTCGGGCAGCGGGAGTCCAGATAGTCTGTGTGACCATGGCCTGTTCCTGGGACTCAGAAGCGACAGTCGGTGGCTACCTGCACTACCAGGGTCGGACAGGAGGATGACGGGCCGTCTCACTGCACAGGCCCACAGGGAGGACAGTGCCAGCTCACATCACAGGGAGGACAAGGACAGCTCACTTCACAGCTAAACCGATCAAGCCTCAGGGCTGGAGAGAGCTCAGGGAACGAGCACAGGTCAGGCGGGCGGGAAGCCTGAGGTGAGCCTCGGCGCTGCCAGGAGGGACCCCCACACACCGGGCCAGGAGCACCCCGCAGAACTGGCAGAGAGCAGCACAGCTGGCTTCTTGGGGACTCGGCCGGGGCAAGGGTGACGGGCGGGAGGATGGAGCCCTGGAGTGAGGAGCACTCAGAAGAGGGCCGGTCCCTCTCCTTGTCACCCGAAGGCCCACAGCCGTCTGGAGGCTGCAGTCACCTTGCTCTTCCCCCTATGATGGTTCCCAACGGTTCTGAAGGAGGACACTTTCCTGACGCCGAGCCGCTTGGTCTCCGACACTGATGTGCGTGATGTGAGGACCTGTTCCCGTGTTGAGTCACTGCCCATCTGTCCCCACCCCAGCCACTACCCGTCTGTCCCAGCCCCCCCGGCACCCCTTGCTCTGGCCATCCCAGTTTTGTGATGGGATCCTGGGTCTGTCAGGCTGGTGCTGGCTGTCCCCTTGTCTCGTCTGTCACATGACACAGCCTATTCCTCTGGCTCAGTGAGCGGGGACTGCCACAGTCCAGCTGCGACGAATTTTTAGGACCCATGAAGGTGGGCTGGTGGCATCGGTGAAAGAACACGAACAAACTTCCTCAGGTGTTGAAGGAGATCTCTGCTTTATTTCATTTTGTGTCTATGCTGACATTCATTTTCTACGTATGCATCTAACTTATGACTTCATTACAGCAGGAGATTAGGCAAGAAGCTTCCTGTCTCACTTGGTGTGGTTGCATGGGATTAAAAATAAGTTGCTCGGGGCTGGAGCAATAGCACAGCAGGTAGGGTGTTTGCCTTGCATGTAGTCCAGCCCAGGTTCGAGTCCCAGCATCCCATATAGTCCCCTGAGCACCACCAGGGGTAATACCTGAGCGTAGAGCCAGGAGTAACCCCTGTGCATCGCTGGGTGTGACCCAAAAGTAAAAAACAAACAAACAAACAAAAATAAATAAAAATAAGTCGCTCAAGCAAAGCATGCAGAGTTCACAAATACAACTCATAAACACGTCAACTTAGCACAAAGGGTTCATTAGACACTGATTTATATCTAACTATATTTTGAATAATCCTAGGACACGTTTTAAGGCTTTCAGGATCTCCGGGTCCCTTTGTTCTTTCTCGTTAAACTGTAACCAACTCTTTCCCCACCAATGACTCCAGGTTCTAATCTGCCTTATAAGATCAGTCTTTTGTTTTATATTTAACAAACACAATGGCCTGCTGCGCCTCATTCTTTGCCAAAGGTTCACTGTGTCACATGTTTAGTCATTATGGTGGGCACTGCACTCCTCCTAATTCGGGGCCCAGAGGGGGCTTTTTAATTTCTATTTTGTCTTCCACTTTCTGATTGCCTAATGCATTGTTAGGTGTTTGTGTAAATGTCAATTCACATTTCTGTAAGCCATTCGTAGGTTTCCTCACAGACCCAACTAGTTTATATCTTGTCACATATTTTTAAAGGGCCAAGTTTCCAATCATCATTTTCCTGGAACTCCCAGGACTAAACATATGGATCAACCACAAGGCACGTATGGAAGTACGTTGATGCCAAGAACTGGGGGGCAGGAGGCCATTGTCTTGTTCCAGGAAGAAACATTTCTTGACTGTCCTTCCACCGTGCATGGACCTTGTCACACTGCAGGGCTGGTAGACCTGGCATGGGACTGGCGGACGCAGTCGGAGGAGAAGGGCAGGTGTGGCTGCAGGGGCACTGAGGCGAGACACCGTCACCTCCGGGTCTCTCTGGGGTTTGCCTTTTTACAGTCACTGCGCTTCCAGCTGATCACAGAGTTTAAAGCCTCTTAAAAACAAGGAGACTAGGGATGCTGGTGTGACCATGACAGGGATGGGAGACTGACCGAGCAGGGTGGGACGGGCCTCGAGGGAGTATCACACGTGGGTCTTTGGGGCCTTCTGGAGGAAAAAAACAGCAATGCTCGCTTAGATTTTCAAAAGATCATGGACCCTACTATTGATCATTGCTCCAAAACTCTGAAACAGAATGAAAATAGTGAAACCAAATGTGCTTGCTTTCTTACCGCACTTATGTTGGAATCTGTTATCTGCCCCTCCAGGCTCATTATTTTTAGCAGTCGGTCTTTTATGTTGGGAGGCAAAGGCCTAACCTCTGTGATGTATCTGGAAATATTTTTCGCAAAGTACCAAAGGCATCTGAAAAGCAAATACGATAGAATTAGTGAGAATTAGTGTCAGGACACTGGCTCTGAACACCCGCTTGTGATGTTCTGTTGGCACTAGGCCTTCCCATCTTGGGCCAACACTGGCCGCTTGGCTCCCTCACCGAGGCCAGAGGCTGCTGGCTGTGACATGATGTCCTTCCACACTGTTCCACAGCACACTGCACTGATTTATTTAAAACATCTTTTGACATTAAAGTTTTATTGGCTCCCCATGTATTATAAAGTCACAAAGATATGTTTACGATTGAGTTTCAATATTCCAACAGCAATCCCTTCAGCAGTGTCCAATGCTCATTTACTACCAACAAACAACCTGGAGTTTTTTCTAAGTTAGTCTCTTTAATTCTTAAGACAAAAACATCATCTAAAGAAGCATTAAGCTAGGGATCACTAACTGATAAATTTTACCGAATTTAATAAGGCATCTTTGTTAATTCCTTTAAGATTAGACAGATAACACCATCATTAGAGAAATTACTCTAGTTGCAAAAATTCCACCAGAACTACAAATCCCAGAGAGGATCAACGCAGAGAAGGGGCCATGTCTGCATGACAAGGTTCTCGGGTGAGCAGAGATCAGACACAACAGCTGTGTTTCTCAGGCTGGCCTGCAACTCCGAGGAAAGCCGGGCATTAAAGCACATCTGACTTAACTTCTGCCTCAGATGCTACCAATTACCCACAAGGAGGCCACAGGAAGGAAGGCCATACACACACACACGCGCACACACACACACACACACACACACACACACATCCACTATTCCACAAATGAGCGGGATCATTTTCTGTCCCTCTTCTTCTGACTCATTTCACTCAGTATGATACTGCCCATGTGCATCCATGTATGAGCGAATTTCATGACTTATTTTTTCCTGGTGACCGCATAGTATTCCATTGTGTAGATGTACCATAGTTTATCAAGTGGTCTGTTCTCAGGCACTCAGGGGTGCTGCAGTGAACACAGGAGTGCAGATGGCCTTTCTGCATTATTTTTGAGCCACCAGAGTATATTCCCAAAATGAGTATTGCTGGGTCATATGGAAGCTCAATTCCTAGTTTTTCTGAGGACTATCCGTACTGTTTTCCCAAAAGGCTGGACCAGTTGACATTCCCACCAGCAGTGAATCAGAGTCCCTTTCTTAATACCCATATCTTGGGTATTAACAACCCTTTATCAGATGAGTGTTATGGTAGTTTCTCCCATTCCTTAGCTGTCTTTGTATCCTGGCCGTCATTCCCTTTGACATACACAAGCTTCTTAGTTTAATGCAGCTGCGTTTCTTTCCTTTATTTAGTGGAGTTTCATTCTTGAAGATGCCTTCAGCTCCAGTGTCACGGAGAGTGTTGCCTACATTTTCCTGTATGTACTTTGTGGATTCAGGTCTAATATCAAGGTCTTCAATCCAGTTTGACTTGACTTTTATGCACAGCATTAGAAAGAGGGCTTAATTCTTTTCCTGTTTGATTTTGGTGTGGCTTACCAGTTTTCCCAGCACCACTTATTGAAGAGGCTTTCCTTGGTCCACTGAGCGATAGCACAGCGGTAGGGTGTTTGCCTTGCACGCAGCCAACATGGCCGACCCGAGTTCGATTCCTCCGCCCCTCCCGGAGAGCCCGGCAAGCTACCAAGAGTATCTCGCCTGCAGGGCAGAGCCTGGCAAGCTCCCCGTGACGTATTCGATATGCCAAACACAGTAACAACAAAGTCTCCAATGGAGACGTTACTGGGCCCGCTTGAGCAAATCGACGATCAACGGGAGGGCCTTTACCTTTACCTTACCTTTTATCGAAGACTAACTGATGATATACCTGAAGATCTGTCTCAGTATATTCAACTCTATTCTATTGGTCCGTGGGTCTGTCTGTATTCCAATACCATACTGTTTTAATTACTACTGCTTTGTAGTACAGCTTGAAGCTGGGGAAGGTGATGCCTCCCATCTTCTTTTTCCCAAGGATCACTTCAGCTGTTCATGGGGACTGGATTTATTGTTCCATATAAATTTCAAGAGTGTTGATTTTTCTGAAAAATGTGTGAGTATCCTTATAGGAACTACATTAAATTTGTACAGTACTTTGGGGAGTATTGCCATTTTGATGTTAGTCCTCCCAATCCATGAGCAGGGGATGTATCTCCATTTCGGTGTGTCCTTTTGTTTCTTGAAGTAGTGTTTTTTTTTTTTTTTTTTTTTTTTTTTAATATATAATTTATTTATTTATTGAATCACTGTGGGAAAAGTTACAGAGCTTTCGGGTTTAGGTCTCAGTCATGTAGATACCGAACACATTTCCCTTTACCAATACTCATTTTTAACCCCGAACCCCAATAGACCCCCACCTCCCACCCCTCCCAATTCTTATGAGGCAGATGAGTTCTAGTTAATACTCTATCTACTTTGACTAGATAGATTATTTCGATAGAAGATGCACAATTATTGTTTAGAGTTTACGACCCACCCCCACCCCCCAATCAGACATGCTGAAACAGCGTTGTGAAATGATTTGCTTTCTACAACTTGGTTTAAGAATAAAATGATGTCGCACGGCCGCGATAGCGGCCGCGCGGTTTTGAATTTCTGCTATTTTACTTATTGACCCTGGAAGAATTTCTATTAAAAGTTAGCTAGTTAAGAGATTGATTTCTGTGCCCTGGGGCCGTGGCCGTGCCGGAGAGCCGCTCGTGGGGGGCAGCTGGCGACCTCGGTGGGGCGTGGGGGACGGCCCACAAAGCCCCCCTTCCCATGAGGTCCCCGCCGCTTCCCCGAGCCCGGCTCAAACCCGCTTTCCACAAGGCTCCCGTGCGGCCGCCATCTTTCTTTCCAGAGAGGAGCGGGCGGGCCGGTCAACGCCCTTCCCCCTCTGGGCAGGCTTGGTGGCGCGGATCAACACAAGTCCATTTGCTTTTCTGCTCCAAGCGGCTGGTTCTCTGTGCTAAGTCCTTGTGCCTCCGGGGCCGTGGCCGTGCCGGAGAGGAAGTAGTGTTTTATAGTTTTCTTTGTATGGGCTTTCACTTCTTTAAAACTGACTCTTAGGTACTGATTTTCTGAGGTATAGTTGTGACTGGGACTGCTTTTTAAATGTATTCGATATGCCAAACACAGTAACAAGTCTCACAATGTTACTGGGCCCGCTCGAGCAAATCGATGAACAATGGGAGGACAGTGACAGTGACTCTTTCATTATTTGTATATAGAAAAGCCATGGACTTTTGTGTATTAATTTTGTGTAGTCTGCTACTTTAATACATTAATATATTGATTACAGGAAATTTTTGGTATAGTTTTTAGGATTTTTTAAATGTCATATTATACACAAATAGTGCTTGAATTCTTCCTTTCCTATTTTGATGCCCTTTATATCTTTTTCTTGCCTCGTTGCTATGGCAAGTACTTCTAGTACTATAGAAGTCAAAAGAATAGTCAAACTTACCTTGTGCCTGATACTAGAGGGAAGTTGTGTGGGCCTGGAGTAAATGGCTTTGACTATACCAAGTAAAGTCTCTTCAATTCCCATTTGGTTAAGAGTTTTTAGCATGAATGGGTACTGGATCTTGTCAAATGCTTTCTCTGTGTCTACTCATATGATTTTCTTTTTTTGATAAGTAGTACACTGATTGACTTATATGTATTAAATCATCCTTGCATTCCTGGTATGAATCCCACTTGGACATGGTGTATGATCTTTCTGATGAGCTGTTGAATTCTATTTGCTAGTATTCTGTTGAGGATCACTGCATTAGGAAGATTGGCCAATAATTATTATAATTCTTTTTTTTTACTTCATCTTTTTTTTGTGATGCCTCTCTCTAATTTTGGTATGTTTGCTTTATAGAAACTATTTGGGAGTGTTTACGTTTCTTCGGATTCTTGAAAGAGTTTGAAAATGATTGGCAGAAGTCTTTATAGAAAATTGGCACCAGTCAATCCATCTGGACTGGGGTTTTGTTTTGGGGAAGACTTGATTACCATTTCAACTGATTACCATTTCAATTTCCTCAATAGTGATAGGTCTGTTCAGGTATTCCAAATCATCTTGGTTCTGTCTTGGGAGGAGTCCAAGAATTTATCCCTCCCCCCCTTTTTTTTCATTGCTGACGGGTTACTCCTGGCTTTGTGCTCAGGAACCACTCCTGGCGTGCTCGGGGGACCATATGGGATGCCGAGAATCGAACCCGGGCTGGCATGTACAAGGCAACTGCCCTATCCACTGTTCTATTTCTTCAGCCCGAATTTATTCTTTTGGATTCTCTCGTTTTGTGGGCATAAAGATTCTCAAAGTACTCTAGAATGATCCTCTAAATTTCTATATCTTCTGTGATGTCCCCCTTTTCATTTCTGATTCAGTTAATTAGGTGTTGGATACTAATCCTAAGTGTTTAGGTTTCATCAGTGAATTGGCCCTTTCCCTCCTTCCAGAGAAGTTTACTGTGCTCTTGCTAGCATCTGTAAGCTAAAGTTTATCTTTAACCTTTCCTTCGTGTTTTACCTCTCACTGTCCTAGTTTCCCAGGTCAATCTTGATAACATATGAGCCAAAACTTTGGTGATTCTGGGCTTTGTATTTGAAGTGAATTACTTGCTTTTCTATTTCTCCTATAGTCTTTTCATATTTTACTATGGAGCAATGTTCTTTGCTTAAACAAAGAAAGCCATTAATGCTGTGCCTTTAATGTTTGGGAGTTGAATGACTGAAATATACCTACTCCTGGCCATCCATCATAGTTACTTGAGTCAGGCTTCAGTTGCCATGGCTCCAAACACCCCAAAAGGGAGGTCCCGCCGTGGGACTGGGAGGGAGCTGGGGTGAGCAGTCAAGCTACTCCAGCATCAAAATGGGACATTCTAGAACGCATAAAAGCATGATCTTGATACAAACTGTTATGACTTAAGAGATAGGACCCCCATGGGGAAGGACAAACTGAACTGACCTGAGGACTTACTCTGGGATGTATGGTAAAAGCCCTGCTTGC